GGGTAGCAGGAATGTTAAATGATCAGTTATGGAAGGAGAAAAGAGAATATGAATGTGTAAATTCAAGAATTATGTGGATTAATGTAAAGGTTGGATGCAAGAAGTGGGTCATAATAAGCGTGTATGCACCTGGAGAAGAGAGGAATGCAGAGGAGAGAGAGAGATTTTGGGAGATGTTAAGTGAATGTATAGGAGCCTTTGAACCAAGTGAGAGAGTAATTGTGGTAGGGGACCTGAATGCTAAAGTAGGAGAAACTTTTAGAGTTTGGGGTGCCAGGTGTAAATGATAATGGGAGCCCTTTGATTGAACTTTGTATAGAAAGGGGTTTAGTTATAAGTAATACATATTTTAAGAAAAAGAGGATAAATAAGTATACAAGATATGATGTAGGGCGAAATGACAGTAGTTTGTTGGATTATGTATTGGTAGATAAGACTGTTGAGTAGGCTTCAGGATGTACATGTTTATAGAGGGGCCACAGATATATCAGATCACTTTCTAGTTGTAGCTACACTGAGAGTAAAAGGTAGATGGGATACAAGGAGAATAGAAGCATCAGGGAAGAGAGAGGTGAAGGTTTATAAACTAAAAGAGGAGGCAGTTGGGGTAAGATATAAACAGCTATTGGAGGATAGATGGGCTAATGAGAGCATAGGCAATGGGGTCGAAGATTTATGGGGTAGGTTTAAAAATGTAGTGTTAGAGTGTTCAGCAGAAGTTTGTGGTTACAGGAAAGTGGGTGCGGGAGGGAAGAGGAGCGATTGGTGGAATGATGATGTAAAGAGAGTAGTAAGGGAGAAAAAGTTAGCATATGAGAAGTTTTTACAAAGTAGAAGTGATGCAAGGAGGGAAGAGTATATGGAGAAAAAGAGAGAGGTTAAGAGAGTGGTGAAGCAATGTAAAAAGAGAGCAAATGAGAGAGTGGGTGAGATGTTATCAACAAATTTTGTTGAAAATAAGAAAAAGTTTTGGAGTGAGATTAACAAGTTAAGAAAGCCTAGAGAACAAATGGATTTGTCAGTTAAAAATAGGAGAGGAGAGTTATTAAATGGGAAGATGGAGGGAATATTTTGAGGAATTGTTAAATGTTGATGAAGATAGGGAAGCTGTGATTTCGTGTACAGGGCAAGGAGGAATAACATCTTGTAGGAGTGAGGAAGAGCCAGTTGTGAGTGTGGGGGAAGTTCGTGAGGCAGTAGGTAAAATGAAAGGGGGTAAGGCAGCCGGGATTGATGGGATAAAGATAGAAATGTTAAAAGCAGGTGGGGATATAGTTTTGGAGTGGTTGGTGCAATTATTTAATAAATGTATGGAAGAGGGTAAGGTACCTAGGGATTGGCAGAGAGCATGCATAGTTCCTTTGTATAAAGGCAAAGGGGATAAAAGAGAGTGCAAAAATTATAGGGGGATAAGTCTGCTGAGTATACCTGGTAAAGTGTATGGTAGAGTTATTATTGAAAGAATTAAGAGTAAGACGGAGAATAGGATAGCAGATGAACAAGGAGGCTTTAGGAAAGGTAGGGGGTGTGTGGACCAGGTGTTTACAGTGAAACATATAAGTGAACAGTATTTAGATAAGGCTAAAGAGGTCTTTGTGGCATTTATGGATTTGGAAAAGGCGTATGACAGGGTGGATAGGGGGGCAATGTGGCAGATGTTGCAAGTGTATGGTGTAGGAGGTAGGTTACTGAAAGCAGTGAAGAGTTTTTACGAGGATAGTGAGGCTCAAGTTAGAGTATGTAGGAAAGAGGGAAATTATTTCCCAGTAAAAGTAGGCCTTAGACAAGGATGTGTGATGTCACCGTGGTTGTTTAATATATTTATAGATGGGGTTGTAAGAGAAGTAAATGCGAGGGTCTTGACAAGAGGCGTGGAGTTAAAAGATAAAGAATCACACACAAAGTGGCAGTTGTCACAGCTGCTCTTTGCTGATGACACTGTGCTCTTGGGAGATTCTGAAGAGAAGTTGCAGAGATTGGTGGATGAATTTGGTAGGGTGTGCAAAAGAAGAAAATTAAAGGTGAATACAGGAAAGAGTAAGGTTATGAGGATAACAAAAAGATTAGGTGATGAAAAGATTGAATATCAGATTGGAGGGAGAGAGTATGGAGGAGGTGAATGTATTCAGATATTTGGGAGTGGACGTGTCAGCGGATGGGTCTATGAAAGATGAGGTGAATCATAGAATTGATGAGGGAAAAAGAGTGAGTGGTGCACTTAGGAGTCTGTGGAGACAAAGAACTTTGTCCTTGGAGGCAAAGAAGGGAATGTATGAGAGTATAGTTTTACCAACGCTCTTATATGGGTGTGAAGCATGGGTGATGAATGTTGCAGCGAGGAGAAGGCTGGAGGCAGTGGAGATGTCATGTCTGAGGGCAATGTGTGGTGTGAATATAATGCAGAGAATTCGTAGTTTGCAAGTTAGGAGGAGGTGCGGGATTACCAAAACTGTTGTCCAGAGGGCTGAGGAAGGGTTGTTGAGGTGGTTTGGACATGTAGAGAGAATGGAGCGAAACAGAATGACTTCAAGAGTGTATCAGTCTGTAGTGGAAGGAAGGCGGGGTAGGGGTCGGCCTAGGAAAGGTTGGAGAGAGGGGGTAAAGGAGGTTTTGTGTGCGAGGGGCTTGGACTTCCAGCAGGTATGCATGAGCGTGTTTGATAGGAGTGAATGGAGACAAATGGTTTTTAATACTTGACGTGCTGTTGGAGTGTGAGCAAAGTAACATTTATAAAGGGGTTCAGGGAAACTGGCAGGCCGGACTTGAGTCCTGGAGATGGGAAGTACAGTGCCTGCACTCTGAAGGAGGGGTGTTAATGTTGCAGTTTAAAAACTGTAGTGTAAAGCACCCTTCTGGCAAGACAGTGATGGAGTGAATGATGGTGAAAGTTTTTCTTTTTTCGGGCCACCCTGCCTTGGTGGGAATCGGCCAGTGTGATAATAAAAAAAAAATATATATAATATATTATATATATTAATAATATATATATATATATATATATATATATATATATATATATATATATATATATATATATGTATATATATATATATTAAGTATATATATAACAACACCAACAGCAAAAAAAGACAGGTAGTCTACAAATCCACATAAGGGCACATAACACACAATAAAAGTACATAACATCATAACATAAAATAACGCTCCATAACACCCAGTAACACCACATAACACATACTGACACTACATAACTCAGTTGCACCACGTAACACAATAACGCCACATAACTCATAACTCCATGTAACTCACAATATCACCACATAACTCACAATGCTGCATGACTCTATATGGTTTAACACTTATAACTCATAACACCACACAACACACAATAATAAAACACAGCACACAACAACACAACACGTAGTAGCGCCTTATAACACATAATAACACCACAAAACACACTATAATACCACGTAACACAATAACACCACATAAGACTCAATAACACCACATAACACACAATAACACCACATAACACAAAATAACATGATATAGCACACAATAACACCAAATAACACATTAATTCCACAAAACACTCAGTAGACAATGACAGCTTCAGGAAAATACATGAACACCCGTCAGCAACAGAGTATAAAAGCCAGTTTAAAATATACAAATTTAATCCCTCAGCTTATGAGACAGTGATGAAAATAAAAATTTTTGTTGAATTTAACTCTGTATAATGGTTGATTTCTAAAGACACAGTTAATATCTGTAGTTAAATTTTAATATTGCTATTAAATATCACAATGTAAATAACGTAGTCAAATTTCATAGTTTTATATTGAATTATTAAATATCATGGTTTAAATGACTGAGTTTATATCGAGGTTAAATATCGCGTTCCAAACACCCTTATATAACCGAGTTAAATGGTAATTGTTTATAACATAGGCAAAAATAACATTTGGAAGATCAGGATATGGAGACATTGTGAGGAACTAATGAATCCCTTAGGGTCATACAACACCTGGAAAGCAGATAGTTGCTATAATTCCTTGGATCAAGAGCCAGCCCATCACCAACATCAAGCGAAGAGCAGTTACCACAAAGGCGAAGAAAATAATGAAGCATTTCTGAAATTGGCTCTAAAAATAGAGACATTTAGCATCACTAAGATGCGCAGCTTGATGTATGGGAGAGTTACGGTGTGCAGTGCTCGCCCGGCCGCCGGACGGGCGTAAGTAGGTGTTTAATGTAAATGATGTATTCAATTTTATATTGCCGCCATATATTAACGATATCAACTGTTCCTATCAGTAAAATAGGTACCTGGGTGTTAGTCGACTGGTGTGGGTCGTGTTCTGTACCTGGGTGTTAGTCGACTGGTGTGGGTCGTGTTCTGGAGACAAAACTGACCTAGTTTGTTCGAAATGCTCTGCATAACAAGGGGCTTTGTATATCGTAGTATGTTACTGATATCAATTAGGCCTGTATACCCTGTACATGTACTTGTACATATAAAGATATTATAATTATTATTATTATTATCAGATACTTACGTGCCTAGCCATGCTAGGCGTTCTAGTGGTACACTCTGTAATACCTAGCCATGCTAGGCGTTCTAGTGGTACACTCTGTAATACCTAGCCATGCTAAGCGTTCTAGTGGTACACTCTGTAATACCTAGCCATGCTAGGCGTTCTAGTGGTACACTCTGTAATACCTAGCCATGCTAGGCGTTCTAGTGGTACACTCTGTAATACCTAGCCATGCTAGGCGTTCTAGTGGTACACTCTGTAATACCTAGCCATGCTAGGCGTTCTAGTGGTACACTCTGTAATCATTATTTAACTACATGTAAACCACACAACAACCAAATTCTGTAAATTCAACTTTGTAATCTTTATAGAGAATAAACTTTGAATTTGAATTTGAATTTGAATGGGGCGGGGCAGCGACGGAAGAGGTTGCAAAACAAGGAAGAGTTCACAGGTCTGGTTCACTTACGCAGGTGAAGCATATCAGTCATAATATACCTTTGAGACGTATCGCAGCATTCCTCTCCTCAACAACCCTCTAGAGAGATCGCTCAGTGGGTTATCTGACAGTAAATTTTATTACTTCTGATGACTGATCCTGGAAATTAGAAGGTAGAACTATTATACTTGATATTAGTGAATCCACGAACAAGTGACCAGTTGCAGTATTGTTAACTGCTTAAAACCAATTGTTCGTGGATGCATTAACATGTGTTCGTGGATGCATTAGCATGTGTTCGTGGATGCATTAACATGTGTTCGTGGATGCATTAACATGTGTTCGTGGATGCATTAACATTTGTTCGTGGATACATTAACATTTGTTCGTGGATGCATTAACATGTGTACGTGGATGCATTAACATTTGTTCGTGGATGCATTAACATTTGTTCGTGGATGCATTAACATGTGTACGTAGATGCATTAACATGTGTTCGTGGATGCATTAAGATGTGTACGTGGATGCATTAACATGTGTTCGTGGATGCATTAACATGTGTTCGTGGATGCATTAACATGTGTTCGTGGATGCATTAACATGTGTTCGTGGATGCATTAACATGTGTTCGTGGATGCATTAACATGTGTTCGTGGATGCATTAACATGTGTTCGTGGATGCATTAACATGTGTTCGTGGATGCAATAACATGTGTTCGAGGATGCATTAACATGTGTTCGTGGATGCATTAACATGTGTTCGTGGATGCATTAACATGTGTTCGTGGATGCATTAACATGTGTTCGTGGATGCATTAACATGTGTTCGTGGATGCATTAACATGTGTTCGTGGATGCAATAACATGTGTTCGAGGATGCATTAACATGTGTTCGTGGATGCATTAACATGTGTTCATGGATGCATTAACATGTGTTCGTGGATGCATTAACATGTGTTCGTGGATGCATTAACATGTGTTCGTGGATGCATTAACATGTGTTCGTGGATGCAATAACATGTGTTCGAGGATGCATTAACATGTGTTCGTGGATGCATTAACATGTGTTCGTGGATGCATTAACATGTGTTCGTGGATGCATTAACATGTGTTCGTGGATGCATTAACATGTGTTCGTGGATGCATTAACATGTGCATTAACATGTGTTCGTGGATGCATTAACATGTGTTCGTGGATGCATTAACATGTGTTCGTGGATGCATTAACATGTGTACTACTCTTGAAAGCTGATATTCCAAATGGGAGTAGAATTAAATTAGTTTTAAGTTACCACAGCAACATATGTGCTCACATTCAGAAATCTGCCCAGTGCTACTGAGTACTTAATGTCTGTGGCAGTGATGATTCAATAGTTTTGGCTGACTTCCCACGAGGCGGGCTAAAATAACATGGGTTCGATCCCCAGCTAGTTGCAGTATAGTTATTGACTGAAACCACTTGTTTATTACAACTTAGTTTGAGTTCATAGATGATATCAGTAGTGTACTTTTCCTCTGGGCGCTGTATCCGGTTTAGGGCCTTCCTCTGGGCGCTGTATCGGGTTTAGGGCCTTCCTCTGGGCGCTGTATCCGGTTTAGGGCCTTCCTCTGGGCGCTGTATCCGGTTTAGGGCCTTCCACTGGGCGGTGTATCCGGTCTAGGGCCTTCCTCTGAGCGGTGTATCCGGTCTAGGACCAGCGGCTGGAGGGTCACCTTTTCACACCTAGGTGTTACTTCCGGTTTGACCTTGACCTCGCCCTCGAGACTACCTCACCCTTGACCCCCCCAACCAATACCCCCCGCCCACGACCCCCCCCCTCCGCGACCCCCCTTCGCGACCCCACCGTCGCGCCGCGCGCCTGCCCGCGCGCCCGCCCCGCCCGCACGCCCGCGCCCTTCGCGACCCTTGCCAGCGCCTTCTGCTGCGCCTTCTGCAGCGTCGTCCGGATCGCCCCCGCGCCCCGAATTTCATTTTCTTATGATCTCCTTGGATCAAGGTTTTTGGATTCTCCCCTATGGGGTTTCGAATTTTTTTTGAATTTCATTTTCTTGTGCTCTCCATCTCCTCAGATCAAATTTTTGAGGTTCCCCCTCCCACTTTCACCCCCCATCCCAAAATTTCTCGAAATCAAAGTCTCCATCTCCTCGGATCAAATTTTTGGATTCCCCCCTATGGGGGTTTCGAAATTCTTAGGATCTCCTTGGATTGCCCCTCTCACTTTCACCCCCAAACCCAAAAATTTATCGAAATCAAAGTCTCCAATTCCTCGGATCAAATTTTTCTCGAAATCAAAGTCTCCATCTCCTTGGATCAAGGGTTTTGAATTTCTCCAATTCCTTGGATCAAATTTTTGGGTACCCCTCCTTTCACCCCCAAATTTTCTCGATAATACCATGACTCCATCTCCTCGGATCAAGTTTTTTGTATTCCTCCCTATGGGGTTTTCAAAATTCTCCATCTCCTTGGATCAAGGGTTTTGAATTTCTCCATCTCCTCGGATCAAGTTTTTAAGGTTCCCCCTCCGACTTTCACCCCCATCCCAAAATTTCTCGAAATCAAAGTCTCCATCTCCTCGGATCAAATTTTTGAGGTTCCCCCTCGTAATATGTAAAATTGTGATTAGTGAATTTAACGAAAGTGGATGTAAGCGATGTGGTGACTTTCTGATGTACTGTGTCCCCTTATTAACTTTAATGAACTAAAAGGGTTAAAACGAGAAAAAATTGGGGTTAAGAGTGAAAATGTTTTCCCTATGATGTAGGAACTATATCCCCTTATTAACTTTAATGAACTAAAAGGATCGACAAGATTCAGCCTGTGTGCGCGGTCATCACGTGACGTCACTACTATGTTCCCTTATTAACTTGAATGAACTAAAAGGGTCGACAAGATTCAGCTTGTATGTGTGGTCCTTTTTTAGTTCATTTAACTTAATGAGAGGAATACTGACCGCCGAGTAAACACCCTTCTTAGTTCATTTGACTTGTTTAGACCTGTAGTAAGCATGCTTACCCCCAGAGGGGGGAATCCAAAAACTTGGTAATATTGAGAAATTTTCGGGGTTGGGGGGTGAAAGTCGGAGGGGGAATTTCGAAAACCCCTTAGGGGGGAATCCAAAAAACCTTGATCTAAGGAGATGGAGAATTTTGAAAACCCCATAGGGGGGAATCCAAAAAACTTGATCCGAGGAGATCATAAGAATTTCGAAACCCCCATAGGGGGGAATCCAAAACTTGTATTATCGAGAAAATTTGGGGTGAAAGGAGGGGTACCCAAAAATTTGATCCAAGGAATTGGAGAAATTCAAAACCCTTGATCCAAGGAGATGGAGAATTTTGAAAACCCCATAGGGGGAAATCCAAAAAACTTGATCCGAGGAGATGGAGTCATGGTATTATCGAGAAATTTTGGGGTGGGGGTGAAAGTGAGAGGGGGAACCTCAAAAATTTGATCCGAGGAGATGGAGACTTTGATTTCGAGAAATTTTGGGATGGGGGTGAAAGTCGGAGGGGGAACCTTAAAAACTTGATCCGAGGAGATGGAGAAATTCAAAACCTTTGATCCAAGGAGATGGAGAATTTTGAAAACCCCATAGGGAGGAATACAAAAAACTTGATCCGAGGAGATGGAGTCATGGTATTATCGAGAAAATTTGGGGGTGAAAGGAGGGGTACCCAAAAATTTGATCCAAGGAATTGGAGAAATTCAAAACCCTTGATCCAAGGAGATGGAGACTTTGATTTCGAGAAAAATTTGATCCGAGGAATTGGAGACTTTGATTTCGAGAAATTTTTGGGTTTGGGGGTGAAAGTGAGAGGGGCAATCCAAGGAGATCCTAAGAATTTCGAAACCCCCATAGGGGGGAATCCAAAAATTTGATCCGAGGAGATGGAGACTTTGATTTCGAGAAATTTTGGGATGGGGGGTGAAAGTGGGAGGGGGAACCTCAAAAATTTGATCAGAGGAGATGGAGAGCACAAGAAAATGAAATTCAAAAAAAATTCGAAACCCCATTGGGGAGAATCCAAAAACCTTGATCCAAGGAGATCATAAGAAAATGAAATTCGGGGCGCGGGGGCGATCCGGACGACGCTGCAGAAGGCGTAGCAGAAGGCGCTGGCGGGGGTCGCGAAGGGCGCGGGCGGGCGCGCGGGCGCGCGGCGCGACGGTGGGGTCGCGAAGGGGGGTCGCGGAGGGGGGGTCGTGGGCGGGGGGGTATTGGTTGGGGGGGTCAAGGGTGAGGTAGTCTCGAGGGCGAGGTCAAGGTCAAACCGGAAGTAACACCTAGGTGTGAAAAGGTGACCCTCCAGCCGCTGGTCCTAGACCGGATACACCGCTCAGAGGAAGGCCCTAGACCGGATACACCGCCCAGTGGAAGGCCCTAAACCGGATACAGCGCCCAGAGGAAGGCCCTAAACCGGATACAGCGCCCAGAGGAAGGCCCTAAACCGGATACAGCGCCCAGAGGAAGGCCCTAAACCGGATACAGCGCCCAGAGGAAGGCCCTAAACCGGATACAGCGCCCAGAGGAAGGCCCTAAACCGGATACAGCGCCCAGAGGAAGGCCCTAAACCGGATACAGCGCCCAGAGGAAGGCCCTAAACCGGATACAGCCCCAGAGGAAGGCCCTAAACCGGATACAGCGCCCAGAGGAAGGCCCTAAACCGGATACAGCGCCCAGAGGAAGGCCCTAAACCGGATACAGCGCCCAGAGGAAGGCCCTAAACCGGATACAGCGCCCAGAGGAAGGCCCTAAACCGGATACAGCCCCAGAGGAAGGCCCTAAACCGGATACAGCGCCCAGAGGAAGGCCCTAAACCGGATACAGCGCCCAGAGGAAGGCCCTAAACCGGATACAGCCCCCAGAGAAGGCCCTAAACCGGATACAGCGCCCAGAGGAAGGCCCTAAACCGGATACAGCCCCCAGAGGAAGGCCCTAAACCGGATACAGCGCCCAGAGGAAGGCCCTAAACCGGATACAGCGCCCAGAGGAAGGCCCTAAACCGGATACAGCGCCCAGAGGAAGGCCCTAAACCGGATACAGCCCCCAGAGGAAGGCCCTAAACCGGATACAGCGCCCAGAGGAAGGCCCTAAACCGGATACAGCCCCCAGAGGAAAAGTACACTACTGATATGAAATTGATGGGGGTGGGGGAAGGGGAGGGGGGGGGGAGGGGGTAGGAATATATCTACTTACTGTTAAACCAAGGTAGTCCTGGCCGTTCTACCTCAGCAAAAGATTGACTTCTCTCATAATATTTTTCTCTTATTTCACTTATTCCTTATTGACGTTCCATCCTCCATACATAAACATAGATCTGTAAGGAAAATTTAATGCATATTTTTGTTTCCTTATACTCTATTAAATGTTCACTCACCATATATGAATTGATACATAGAAGATCGTAAATTACAAAGAACTGTTTTTAAATTATTCTTTTATGGCACATTATTTAGTATCAGAATATCCTTCCACATACATTCATTGATAAATTTAACATTTATTAATGTATATATCAGTTAGATATTTCTGAATTTGAGGGAAAACATCTTAATATTTATGAATGTAAAGCCAAATTTAACATTATATATTTGTTTCACGTTATTGCTTCGCTAAATAATTAATTTAAATTACATAATCTACCAACTTACTGAGTAAAATATTCAGAACAATTTTTTTTTTTTGCACAAATTTCAGTATTTACATACATAGTTTGACTAAATCCTTCAATATATTGATTCATTATACTCGCCAGTGTCACAAGGTGGATCAGATCTATAACCTTTAAGTATTAATAATAGCATCACATTATTTTACATACACATGATTCTATCTCAAGGATAACTTGACTTATCTGTAAAGAAAAATGGGAAGACAATATTTCAGGTGAGTAATCCGCCCTTCAGACCACTACAAAGTTGATGCCTTGACTCCCCGTAGTCTGGAGAAAGTTAGGCTAGAACGGATTTTTTTTTCTACAATCTCGCTGTCAACAGATGTGATTCAGTCTTAGACTATTTGGTACGTAACTGAGCTAGTGTGTTAAGGTAAATAATCAGGGAGGCTCCATGACATACACACGCCTGTCTTCACTTCTGCCAGGTAGACTAATTACCAGCAGGCAACACACCATACAGTACCCTCGCATAAACAGGCCTATGCACACTAGGGCCTTACAAATAAACACCTATAGTATACACTTAAAAACTTATAAAAATTACCTGCTCAAACTACCGCCCAAACATGACAACTTCACCCCCTCACCATCTGTCTCGTACTAATGCACCAACATCTCATCAGCTCCTGTCTGGCTAACCGACCGGGAATAATACGCGTTCGGTTTCAGTACAAACCCGTAAAATGACATATGGAACATTATTTCATATATAAATTTGTACAATATTTTAAATGCAGCACACTGCATAACAGTCTGGACTTCATACCAGGGAGGTGTAGGAATAATCTTCCTGCCTACTAGTAAAATTTTGATTAAGTCATCAAGGGACTTCCGGTGAAGTGCTTTTGACATTGGAGAACTCTTAATAAACACTGCATTAATGGGACAGATTCATTACCTTGTGTAGTACGTCAACAATTATTCCAAACATCTACGTTCTAAGAGATATCACAAAACGTACTTCTTCTTAAATCTTCTTCTTAAATATTAGTCGGTATTGTCCCGGCCCGGGCCTTTTCCAAGTGGTGGCCCGGCCTTGGCTCCCTCTTTAGGGAGTGTCTGAGACCTAAGTCTCCCATGGGAGGAGGCACAAGTACCTCCTCATCTTTGGGACCAACTGTCCCCAGGCCTAGCCACAAGTTAGGCCTCTCTGGTCTGCCATCCCCGCCCCAAGGGGGCTAATGGGAATGACAGTCTTATGAGCTAAAGGCTCGGACTCAGGCACCTACCCTACCCTAGAAGGGTTAGGCATGGTGTCGATGCACAAAACGTACATTCTCTTCTGGTTCAGGATTATTTTTTTTTTTTTTTTTTAATTTTATTTTCGTTATGTACTTAGCTTTGGCAATTCCATTTACTTTTAATTATAGTTATCCTTTAAGTTAGGTTTTTAAATAACCGTATTAAAATTTGTCTTAATTTATTAGAAACTTCTCTCTATTTATTCGGCTTTAAATATATTTTCCCAGTAATATTTTTTCCTTGTATTTCAATAATATCTCATAGATTTTCATACCTATATTTTTTTCCCTCAAGGATAACTAGTTTTGTCACGTTCCTAAATTTACAATATCATCAATAGCATTGTAATGCCATTATGTTTCACACTAAATATTTGCACTCAATTACATGCTTAGTACCCCAACACTTCCCTCTTTACTATATATCACCATATATCTAGATCATCATCTGTTCATTTCATATTCTTTTTCGTAACACATTTAAATTTGTTCCCCTTTCCTTATCATCTCACATTTTTGTATATTATTTCTTTCATAAAAAATCATCACTGTTTGTTTTAAATATAGTTTATTTGCAGTTCCTTGAACTTGCTCCCCATAAGTCAAATATTAATGTTATTTATAAACTCTCAGATTCTACTCGTGCAGCCATTATAGCTAATCATATTTACTCATAAATACCATTAAATCTTTCAAGGCAGGCGAAATTACTGACCTGGAGAGTGTACAAAGAACTTTCACGGGACACACATGTACGATAAAGCACCTAAATTACTGGGAACGGTTAAAGTCTCTTGATTTGTATTCCCTAGAACGAAGGCGAGAGAGATGCATGATAATATACACTTGGAAAATCCTAGAGGGATTAGTACCAAAGTTGCACACGAAAATCACTCCCTATGAATACATAAGCAAGACTCGGCAGGAGAAGCAACATTCCCTCAATAAAAAGCAGGGGCGCCACACGTACACTGAGAGAACACAGTAAGTGTCCGGGGCCCAAGACTGTTCAACTGCCTCCCAGCATACATAAGGTGGACTACTAATAGACACCTGCTGTCTTCAAGACCCCTGGCTATCTTCAAGACCCCTGGCTATCTTCAAGACCCCTGGCTGTCTTCAAGACCCCTGGCTATCTTCAAGACCCCTGGCTATCTTCAAGACCCCTGGCTGTCTTCAAGACCCCTGGCTGTCTTCAAGATCCCTGGCCATCTTCAAGACCCCTGGCTGTCTTCAAGACCCCTGGCTATCTTCAAGACCCCTGGCTGTCTTCAAGACCCCTGGCTATCTTCAAGACCCCTGGCTATCTTCAAGACCCCTGGCTGTCTTCAAGACCCCTGGCTGTCTTCAAGACCCCTGGCTATCTTCAAGACCCCTGGCTATCTTCAAGACCCCTGGCTATCTTCAAGACCCCTGGCTGTCTTCAAGACCTCTGGCTGTCTTCAAGACCCCTGGCTATCTTCAAGACCCCTGGCTGTCTTCAAGACCCCTGGCTGTCTTCAAGACCCCTGGCTATCTTCAAGACCCCTGGCTGTCTTCAAGACCCCTGGCTGTCTTCAAGACCCCTGGCTGTCTTCAAGACCCCTGGCTATCTTCAAGACCCCTGGCTGTCTTCAAGACCCCTGGCTGTCTTCAAGACCCCTGGCTGTCTTCAAGACCCCTGGCTATCTTCAAGACCCCTGGCTGTCTTCAAGACCTGGCATCTTCAAACCCTGGCTGTCTTCAAGACCCCTGGCTGTCTTCAAGACCCCTGGCTGTCTTCAAGACCCCTGGCTGTCTTCAAGACCCCTGGCTGTCTTCAAGACCCCTGGCTGTCTTCAAGACCCCTGGCTGCCTTCAAGACCCCTGGCTATCATGTGGGAGTTCGACACGTGGATTAGGTAAGAAATACTCACGTAGGCTGGTATTACGTATAATTACAGACAAGGTGGGGCCCTTACAGCCGTAGCCTAGTCTCTCTCGCTCCTCTCGTAACACTGACTGACTGGCCGCCCAGTACCCATATGTGAGAGGGTCTTTGAATATGCCAGGTCAGCGCAATATGAGTTCAGATAGTGACTCAGGCAGAGACGGTTGGTCGTTGAGTCAACGGTACACTGGTTACTGGTAACTGGTTACTACTACTGAGATGGCTGTCTTCAAGACCCCTGGCTGTCTTCAAGACCCCTGGCTGTCTTCAAGACCCCTGGCTATCTTCAAGACCCCTGGCTGTCTTCAAGACCCCTGGCTGTCTTCAAGACCCCTGGCTGTCTTCAAGACCCCTGGCTATCTTCAAGACCCCTGGCTGTCTTCAAGACCCCTGGCTGTCTTCAAGACCCCTGGCTGTCTTCAAGACCCCTGGCTGTCTTCAAGACCCCTGGCTGTCTTCAAGACCCCTGGCTGTCTTCAAGACCCCTGGCTGTCTTCAAGACCCCTGGCTGTCTTCAAGACCCCTGGCTGTCTTCAAGACCCCTGGCTGTCTTCAAGACCCCTGGCTGTCTTCAAGACCCCTGGCTGTCTTCAAGACCCCTGGCTGTCTTCAAGACCCCTGGCTGTCTTCAAGACCCTGGCTGTCTTCAAGACCCCTGGCTGTCTTCAAGACCCTGGCTGTCTTCAAGACCCCTGGCTGTCTTCAAGACCCCTGGCTGTCTTCAAGACCCCTGGCTGTCTTCAAGACCCCTGGCTGTCTTCAAGACCCTGGCTGTCTTCAAGACCCTGGCTGTCTTCAAGACCCCTGGCTGTCTTCAAGACCCCTGGCTGTCTTCAAGACCCCTGGCTTCTTCAAGACCCCTGGCTGTCTTCAAGACCCTGGCTGACTCTTCAGACCCCTGGCTGTCTTCAAGACCCTGGTCAGTGTGCTTCAAGACCCTGGCTGTCTTCAAGACCCTGGCTTCACTGGCTGTCTTCAAGACCCCTGGCTGTCTTCAAGACCCCTGGCTGTCTTCAAGACCCCTGGCTGTCTTCAAGACCCCTGGCTGTCTTCAAGACCCTGGCTGTCTTCAAGACCCCTGGCTGTCTTCAAGACCCCTGGCTGTCTTCAAGACCCTGGCTGTCTTCAAGACCCCTGGCTGTCTTCAAGACCCCTGGCTGTCTTCAAGACCGCCACTGGCTGTCTTCAAGACCCCTGGCTGTCTTCAAGCGTAACACCCTGGCTGTCTTCAAGACCCTGGCTGTCTTCAAGACCCTGGCTGTCTTCAAGACCCCTGGCTGTCTTCAAGACCCTGGCTGTCTTCAAGACCCCTGGCTCTTCAGACCCTGGCTGTCTTCAAGACCCCTGGCTGTCTTCAAGACCCTGGCTGTCTTCAAGACCCTGGCTGTCTTCAAGACCCCTGCGCTGTCTTCAAGACCCTGGCTGTCTTCAGACCTCCTGGCTGATTCTTCAATGGCTGTCTTCAAACCCTGGTGTCTTAAGTACCCCTGGCTGCTTCAAGACCCTGGCTGTTTAGACCCTGGACTATCTTCAAGAAGCTATTCTGAAGACCTGTCAAATTACAGCAGGCTGTATTCATAACGTCATTTTTCGCTCCAGTAACACTTTTCATTAATGTATACTTCCGAATGTCTTACAGACCCTGTTTAACCCCGTTACTCTTCATTAAATTCAGTATTATACATTACATAATTCGTATATTGTATACCTCGCTAAGTTCGTATTTACTATTTATTATGAGTATTGTACTCTTATTTATTAAATAATATTAGTATTATTCAACATTCTATCAATTTATTTTGTTTATATATCTTGAATTATTCGATATTCTTTTCATTATTCATATCTATTTTTTCATTTTATATTACTTCCTATTCTTTACACTTTTAATCTTATTATTTAATAAGAACTGTATATACATTTGTATTTCGTAATTTTGCAATCTAGTTACACTGTTATTGACTCAGTTATTTAGAAAAATAATCACACTTGTCACCTGGCAATGCACTGTAATGATTGTTAATATGTAAATACAATTTCTGTTACAACTACATTGTAGTTTATGCATTCATTCATCGTTACCTTGAGTATATATAGGTTAGGAGCGAAACTTTTGTCTAATTCTCTTATACCCTGGAGTATGCAGCACAGTTGATAACCAACTGGTCAAGGACTCAAGAAATTGGAAAAATACAAAGGTTTGCAAAAGCTATCCGAGCTCAGGGTAGTCTCGAGAAGGTTGAGGGAATCGGAATGACGACACTGGAGGACAGGAGGGTCAGGAGAGATATGATAACATACAAAATAATGCGTGGAATAGACGAGGACAGAGACAGGATGTTCCAGTGATGGGACACAGAAACAAGGGGTCATAATTGGAAGCTGAAGACTCAGACGAGTCACAGGGATGTTAGGAAGTATTTCTTCAGCCACAGAGTCG